TAGCCTGTTTACTATCTGGCAGGACTGCAACTATACGAAAGCATAATGCCTGAACAGCTTCGGTGCAGATAAAACTGTCATTTGTTGGCCGTGAAAGCTGTGAGCCTGTGAAAAGCATTCTTAAAGATGATAGATTAAAAAATGAATCGAAACAGAAAGCAAAAGCGTGACATGCGTCGACCAGAGAATGTAGATTCCAGGAGCAAGATTAGACGTGGAGCTGTAAGATCACTCATATAGAATGGACGATCTCACTATTCACAACAGTCAGGAGGTCTAACAGATGTGCTATAGGTGTGATCCTAATGTTTCATATGAACATGAGCTCATCTTCACACAACACCAGAGCCGTCATTGCCAAATCTCTGCAAAGTAGGATGGGATGCCATCATGGGAATATGTCCGAGGGAAGGGAAATCTTTTGGCCATGACTCTGAGTCGGTCAAATGTACACACATGCTGATCGCTTGACCCATCTTAGTGTCTCACCTTTTGCAATTTCAATTCGGACGACGCTTCATTCTGTCGTATGCCAAGCTTCATACCCTCTGCTAGCCATTGGCTGGCATGAAGGTTGCAGCTGCTGAGCTCCCGACTGTAATGACCCAACGTCTCCACGGCAGATTGGTGAGCAGCCCGTATGCAATTTATGGCCTCACTTCGGGAGCTGTATTAGGAACATTTTGTTATTGAGCCAAAAGAGAGTGTAGACGAAAAAAATGTATCAAGACTAAGATGGTTTTGCTTTTTTGTATGGTCACGGTTTCCTTTCTCTGCAAAGAAATTGTTTCAACTTGTCTTCGCAACTTAGTCATATTGGAAAGAAGATCATATAGGAACCCAGCTTATCTGGAGTCCATAGTGTTCATGATAATTTCCAGAGTATGACCGTGGACTTGGTACATTCCCAGACGTTTCACAGGCATCATCAGTGAGCATTGTCAGTCTTAGCACCACACTACAACTCGTCAAAGAGACAAATGAAGTCGATGCTTTGATCAATTGTCTACACGGATACGATGGCAGCGATAGAGTGAAATCACTGAAGCAAGCAGATAAAGGAAGTAGCAAGAAGGGGACTCTGATAGGACCCGAAGGGTGAGTATTGCGGATTAAACCGCAGCTTTGCAGCAAAACCCCTGGCACAGTGAGGGGGCGATGTGGGAACCAGCTGGGAGTGTGAATAGGTTTCAAATAGGTTCAGATAAGCAAGTATGAATTTGTTATATTAAAGGGTGATACGAGGATATAGGATTGGCGATTAGCCCAGGAGGAAAGGAGAGATAACACGATTGTTTAGCGGACAATCGGTCAATGAATCGGCTTCACTTGTCTCTTTGACGAGTTGTAGTGTCGTGCTAAGATTGGCAATGCTCACTGATGATGCCAACGAAACGTCTGGGAATGTACTAAGTCCACGGTGCGACTCTGAAAATTAGCATGCATACTATGGACTCCGAACAAGATTCGTTCATCTTTCTTTCAATATGACTAGATTGCCAAATGAAAGGTCAAACAACTTCTAAAAAAGATAAGGTTTATGTTCTCAACTAAGGCCGAAAAAGAAACTGCCCATCTCATTTGATAATATTATTAATCGAGAGTATAGAAATTCATGTGTACATACCTGACCACCATTATTTGGAAAGGGCAAACTGTAAAGTCACGTCGACAAGAATGAAGTTGAAGTTGTTGGTATTTCACTTGACAGGAATTAAACCCAAACATTAAAGAAGGCTAGGCAATAAGAAATTATAGATACGTAGAGTTAATGTGCTACGATGAACCTGCTGAGATCACATTGTTGGGGAGACTTGCATTTCTTATGAAAGTACATGAAGAAGTGATTTGTTGGTTCATCTATGATGGACGAAACCTCAGCCCGTTTTCACCCGATGCGAGGGAGTTCTCGTAAACGGGATTCAGCCTTCATCTTCTGGTGAGATCAGCCTACGAACATCTTCGTGCACTTTCATACGAAATGAAGTTCTCTCCAACATTAATAAATTAATCGGCCTAGATCGCTTTTGGTAATGTAAGAACTCATAGGGGAAGTTTTATACAAAATATGCTTCGAAACATACTCACATCTAAAATAAGTAGAGTAATCAATTGTATTGTCAATTATTTTCGAAACCCAGTTTTGCTATATACCTATTTGGCAACTACATGTTTGCTTCATCGATAACCCCACAATAAAAACGCGATTCATCAGAAGTC